CAATCATCGAGGGACGACTCAACCACCTGCTTGGTGTAGCGAAGCTCATAGTCCACTGTATGCTGCAAGTAGCCCAACATGTGAGCACCCCACTCCAGAACCTTGGTCGGTGCTTTCGTCACCAAACGTCCCATGATGGAGACACCGTAGCAAAGATCTGGTCTTGTGCGGCCACTCAACCAAAGAAGTTCTCCGACCAAAGCTTGAGCTCGTCGGACTTGGGAGATTTGCACATCAGCTTCAACTTCATCTTGAACTCCCAAAGGAAGAGGCGTTTGACGTGGTTTGATACCTTCATGGCGAGACAAAAGATCTCGAGTGTATGAGGCCTGGTTGAGGATCACCGCATCGTCGCTGCAACTGATCTCAAAGCCACAAAACTTGATGGCCTTTTCTGCCGATGCCCACTCTGGTTCCGAACACCGCCAATGAGCCCGAATCCCATCGATCACCGACTTTGCCAAGGGACCTGGTGCAGCAACAAGCATGTCATCAACGTACACAGCGAGGAAGCCTTCAGAGTTGTCCTCCTGCGGAACAGCACCAGGGTCGGTCTTGATCAACTTCCAAAGGTTCGGCTCCGGTGTGGACACCAGCTGGTAGTCATGACCTCCTGCCGAGAAGCGCAGTTGAGGTAGTTCACGGTCACGGTACTGCGACCAGTTCGTTGGAGCATCGTTCAGCCCGTAGACGGCATGAGAGATCTCCCAGAGTTCCGAAGCGTCGCAAATTCCAGCTTCAATTAACACCTTTGGCGGACGAGCGACGAGAAGACGTTCTTGTTCATCAGGTCGTGGTGCAAGAAGGAATGCTGTTTTGATGTCCACCGTGCCGACTGACCAAGAGTTTTCAGCCGCACATTTCATCAAGCAGCGCAAAGTGGTTCCATCTGCTCCACCTGCATAGAGCGAGAACGGGTTTGAGTCCTTGGGCTGAGTCTCACCTGCAGAGTTGTTGCTCTCTTCATTGACCTTGGTGAGATGGTTTCCACAAATGACCACCCGAGCTCGAAGACGTCCATGAGGACTTTGACTGTAGGAACAAGCATCGCTGGAGCCAGCTCCATAGTGGGAAATCTTGGATCCAGGCGCAACTTTTCCTCTGTGGTAGGCTTGATTGCCTGAGTTGAGGACACCAGCTGTCCATATTCATCACGCAGAGGAGGTTTCCATTTTTCCAATTCCCTGCGAACTTGCTGTAGTGAGACCGTATAGGTCTGAAGCACTGTTGCTGGAGCATCTGGGGTTCCCATTGATGGAGCCAATGCCGACAGCTTGAAGTTCTCGATTGCAGAGTGCTGAAACGACAGTTGATCTTCAGCACCCTTGAGGAGTAGTTCAACTTCATGAAGCCAGCTGCCATGGACACTGCCGGAGTTCTCACCAACTGCAACTTCACGAAGGCCTTGACACCAAAGCTGTTTGAGCGCCCAGTGTCGTTGTTGTTCAAGCTCATGCCACTTTTCCACCTGCTGCCAATCACACAGCAGTGAATCTTCGACCTCCCCCTGAAGGTCATGGTGCAAAAGTTCATCACCAGGTTCAACTTTATCATGTAGTTTGTGGCCACCATTCACCTCCTCCAACTCCCCCTTTGGCTCCAGCCCCAGTGAAAGCGACTTGCCAACATCCAACGATGAAGACCAGTCCAAAGAATCCAAAGAGTCCTCCCCGCCAGCTCTGCAAGTTGCTAGAGCTGGAACCGACTCCTCATAGAGCGCTCCCACGCGGCCAGCCAGTGGATGGTCAGGTAGTGGAGGTGGGTGTTTTCCAGCGATGCGATGCTTCACAGCAGGCACCTCTTGGAGTTCCATGATCGCCTGATCGGCTACCGGCGATGGTTCAAGTACAGTGCGCGCGTGCAACAATTGGCCCTTCTTGTCCCGGACAATCCAGCCATGCGACATGTATGGGCAGGGACCAAGGAGTTGCATAGTTCGGTATGGCATAGAGAGCTGACCTGCACGATGCCATCGTTTGGATTTGACCAAAACTGATGCTCCGAAGCGAAGCATAGGAGGACTTTCCAGCCCGAGTCGTTCAAGTTGTAGTCGAACACGCTCTTCGGCAGCATGGCGAAGGGCAACTGGCCAGAAGGAGTGAGGTAGTCCAGCATCATGAAGGAACAACCTGGTGCGGCGTTTGAGTTGGTTCACTTCTCCTTCAACACGGCCATTGGCCTTGGAATCATCGCCAGCCGTCATAGTCAAGCGAATCTGTCGCTGTTCACACCACTTCTGAATTGGTGCTGAAGCAAATGATCGTTCACGATCTGTGTGCAATCTGTAGACCTGGATGCCCAGCATGCGGTACTTGGCGTGCAAGCGGGACAAAGCACGGACCAGTGACTCCACCGTGCGATCAGGAATCACTTCAGCCAGGGTGACATTTTGATGTCCTTGAGGTTCTTGAGACTTCTCAATCTCAGCCATTTCATTGAGCCTCCGGACTTCATCTTCAGGGACTAGGTCACGGTCTTCTGGCTCGCAGGGAATCTCCTCCGTGTGCTCCACATCCTTGGCGGTGTCGCATGGCTCAGTAACCTCACCTGGAAGCTCAGAGATGATGGGGACGGCCACAGTTGAGACCAGTGCGTACTTGCAAATGACTCCTGTGCCCAAATCTTTCCCTTCAGGAAACGGTCCACAAAGGTCGGCTGACATAGTGAACTTCGTGGCGCTCCCCCCAAGCCTCTTGTGTGGTTTGTCGCAGCCCATAGCTTCCCCACAAATGCGGCAGTCAGCACGAAAGGGGATGTGACCCTGTTTGATATGTCGATGCCAAGCTGCAAGGTCCATTTGGAGACATGGTGACCACCTCCAGCCCCCTTTTCCTCCTCCAAAACACCCACCAACCTCCTCAAACCTTCTTGAATCGCTCCCACAAGGCCTGGTGCCCATGCTGCCCAGGTCTTCGAAGTGCGAATGCGGTCACCGAGGTTCGACGGGAGTGGTCTGTCATCACAACCATCGCCTTGGAGGCCATGTAGTTCTTGGAAGGCAGGAAGGTTAGTCAAAACTGTCGTAGGTTTTTCCTCTGGTGACCCAGCTTTCCTTGATCGAAAGTGACCAAGCGAAGGCCAGCAGTTCCAACCCAAGCCATCAGCTCCGGGAAGCACCAGAAAGAAGCGCTTTGCCCACCTTCTTCACCAGCAAGATATTCAGCAGGATCTCGCGGTGATTCCAACAGCATGCCAACATTCGTCATTGAGGCACCAGCGATCTTCTCCTCGACCACGAAGGCGACGAGGTCCTGGTGGTGACCGGTTTCGAAGGCGACTCACGGTCCTGCAGGGAGGACCTCCAACAATTGCAACGATGCGTCCCAAAGACGCCAGCTTCCACAAATAGCCCCAAACGGCCGGGTTGTGCAGGTTCAACGAGGAGTTGATCTCCGTGTCAATGCACAGCCAAGAGTATGCTCCTCCGCCAACACAATTCCACTTCTTCACATCAGGACCACTGAATAGGTGTACAATGACCCCCTTTCCAGTGAGGTGTGCCCTCCGAATTCTCCGGTTCCAGGGCGTTGTAGTTGGATCTTGGCTCTGTCCAGCCATGTGTTGAAGAACAGGATGTGGTAGTTCAGGAAAATGCTTCTGCCACCACTGCCGGTCCTCCTCAGAAAGTGCCACCTCCCCCCGATCCTCGAGCTCGATCTGGGAGAGCATGTCCAAAGCAGGTTGACGATGCATGATCGGGCAGCCAGATCGAAGCCAGCAGTCGATCGCACCGAGTGTCGGGTGACGGATACTGCAACCCGTCTTTCGCCACTCCACCTTATAGCCCCGTTCAACCAGAAGCCCCAATGGGATGATCAGCTCCACCTCCTCCAAGGACAAAAGGGTGCGGTGCTTTGGATGGCGATACAAAACTGTAGTACCTGTAGCAAGTTCAACCTCGATGGGAGTCATCTCGCTCCTTTCATCAGGGTGTGCAGTTCGGAGGGCATGTGTTGCCCCTCCGTCAAGGAGTGCAAAACCTTGAAGACTTGTGTTCACGGGCTCCACAAAGACCTGTTTCAGGCGAACCGCTTTCAGGGTCCTGAGCGTCTTGAGGAGAGTTGTAGCTTCATCAAGGAGGACAGAAGCGGAGTCAACCTTTGACGTTTGGTCACCCCCCAACTCCTTCTCCGGCGACCCGCCACCGTTCTTTCCCGATCCACCTCCAGACACCGTTGGCGATGACAAGAGCGATGAACTCGGAGACGATGTAGTTCCCGAAGCCTCAGAATTTCTGTATTGTGTTTCCTTGGTAGGACTGTCCTTCGACACCTCCTCACCAACGCCTTTCACCTTGGCATTCTTTTTGAAATCCTTGGTGCCCCTCTGTTGACGGTGAGGACAATCTTTCATCATGTGACCTTCTCCTGAACAGAAGAAACATCTTTGCTGACGATCCAGTCCATCCCAGGAGTGCGCATAGCCACACGTGTCCCCCCTCCGACACCCAGACTGAGAGCCCCAAAATCTGCACGGCGACCTCGGCTTCTCATCTTGGCCTTGGCTTGAGTGCAGTGCTTTCACAACAGGTGCAGCGGTCTGGCTAGACGGAGTCGATGATGTTGTAGCCGATGTCTTTGGGGCCACCACCATAAGCGACAGGTCCTCCATCTCCGCCTGCAAGTATTCACTGAGATCTTTGATGGACTGAAGTTCGGGCCTCAGATCCACCAGCAATTCCTGCCTCACCGAAGACACCCGGTAGGCCACTTGACTTCCTCCCAATTTCGACAGGGAGTCCATGATGCGCCCCAACACCTGCATGAGAATCAACGGGTCAGGCAGGGTCAAACGAAGCTCTTCTGCTCGCTGGAGCCATCGTCGCCAGGTCCTTGTAGTCACCAAGAGGTCCTGGATGTTGTTGGATGTTTTCACTTCCGTCAAACACTTCAAAAGTGTAGTTCGTTCGGCACCTCCTCCAGGCTGGAAAAGGACATGAAGTCGAAAAAGGATGCTGACCGTTGTGACCTTCCTGTTGGCGATCACATCTCTTCGAAGCTGGTCGGGCAAGATGCTCAGGAGGAGCGATACACCACGCTGTTCAACACGTTGGTGGACAGGGTCGATGTTCTCCACAGGGCGCAAGCGAAGGCGCTCCAAAGGAGTAGCAGTGAGCCACTTCTCATAGAGTTCACCAGCTGCAGCCAAGCATCCATCCCACCACAACTGAGAAGTCGCCGAGAGGTCTGCCATCAACGGATAGGTCATAGTCAACCAATCTCCATATTGAAGTGCAGCTCCTTCAGTTGAGGGATGAGGCAAGCTCGGAAGGTCCAAGCTCCTCACGGTTTCCGGAATCACCGGAGGCTGAGTAGAGTCACCTTGAGGTCGTCCAGCATGAAGTCCTGGAGGAAGGTCAGGTTTGGTGCATGGCGGAACTCCCGCGCCCACAGGATCACCAGGAGGTAGCCCAGGAGGTTCAGGTAGAGCACGGCCTCCATCACCAATACCAGCGCTCGCGGCCGAGGCATAGGACGAAGCATCACCAGGTGCTCCACCATCAGTCAACCTCTTGACTTCACGAGCGAACTTATCCTCCGCCTCCCGCAAGATCTGAGCTCGGATCTTCTCCACATCGCCAGCTCCGGGACTGGAAGGTGCAGGTTTCTTTCCACTGCTTTCAGCCATACGTACATGCCCTTCACCTTTTGCAGCCTGTTGAAGTGAAGTGCTCCAAAAAGGATTCACAGTGCTGAGAGGCCCCACCGGAGTTGCCGCCGCATAGGGATCCAGCGTTCTTGGATGGAGAGCTTCGCGGCCCACCGATCCCACCATTGGAGAAACCATAGATCCATCCCGATCGGATCTCCCATCCCTGACCGGGGTTCCAGCCGCCAACGCATGCCCTGGAGGACCTCCATGATCGTGCGCATGAGGGACTCCCTGATCAGCTTGGCGAAGGAGTGGATCAAGTAGAGTTGGACCCTGTTGTTGAGGTCCTCGTAGTGCGTTCTGCAGAACTTCGAACGAGTGGCGCACCGCTTCTTGGAGATGCCCCAAACCCATCGACTGTCCCCTAGGATCCATCACCAATTGGTGTACTTGTTCTTGTGCAGGTTGAGGATGGTAGGTCACAGGTGGTCCTTGCGGTGCCCTCAACGACTCCGCAGCGGAAGCTCCCAAACGTTTCATTTCTGCCATGCACGACGATGCCGGCACCGACTTGGCCCTCGAGCGAAGCTCCTCTTCGATCAAGGCGTCGAGCTTTCGGTCAGCGACTCCCACCTCCAGCCGAGGTGTAGCGGCAGCCTCCTTCACAACAGCCTCCTTTGCGGCAGCTTCTTCTTTTCGCTCCCTAGAGCGCTGTTGCTTGCGTCTTCGATGATGCTCCATGGGGACCAACAACCTGAAAAATCAGGGTGGACTTCTACCGGCCACAACCCGTCAGCAGGTTGGGCTCATAACCTAGGGAAGGTTGGGTGTGTCGTGTGGTGCTGCACGGATCCTTTCTCCGCGCAACCTTGAGCCAAACGATGTTTATCGAATGGCGAGTTTCACCTGAGTAGTTTCAAGTACACTTCTCGTTTTGTGCACCTGACTGCAAACAAAGTTTGGAGGTTGGTGGTCCATTTCAACTGCCACAGAAAGGAAGTACTTATCCGACTTGTTGGGCAGGTCTGGAAGTACAGTTCGGCCTTTTTCGCGACGTGCCATTGGATCTGCCAACAAAACTGCCCTCAAGTTTTGCGTGTTTTGACCTCGACCAACAGAGTGTTGGGTGAATGGCATCTTGAAACGTGCAAGATTCTGAATTCGATGCCTTTGCATGCCACATTCCAATGGCAGTGCTTCAAAAAGATCCCGCCCCGGGACTGATACGTGTTAAATTCGTTGTTTTTTATGTTTTTTGCGATGCGGTTTGGGAGCGTCCGATTTTCGAGCCATACCTGCAAGTCATGCCCCCCGATTGCTTGCACTCCCATGTCAGAATGAGCAGTCCTGGTTGTGGTCGGATTGAAAAGCCAAGGTCAAAAGAGCCGGTAGAGCAGTCCTTGGATCAGGAAGCAGTGATTGCGCCGATCATGGGACATTTGCCCAGATTATTTTTTTTGTGTTTATATGTTGAAATGTTGCATGAGAAGGTTTTGCGGCGTTGGACTCATTCGTTTAGAAGGCTCAGGCTCTGGAGAAACTTGACCTAGACCCCAACCAACCTAAAAGCTCTAGGAGAACAAGAGAACTGACGAAGAAGAACACAACGACCACTGTTGATTGAAAGTCTCCTGGTATATCTGGTAGTATGCCTTGATTGAACGTCTCGTGTACCCAAGGGGTTTCCAAGTGTTGTGGAAGTTCACAAATCATCAAACTCCAAACCTTCAAGTTTCTGTTTTTGAGAGACTACTGACACTTGCAATGCAATTAGGTTGGAGGCCATCGCTAGTAGTCGCTAGTAGGTTGGACCCCATTGCTATTAGGTTGGAGGCCCTCGCTGTTATATTTTCGTGTAGTTTGAGAGACTTCTGACACTTTTACTGCTGGATTTCTTGTTCTTAACCGAACTCAAAGTCGACAGGAGCTGCGCCTCTCGCTGACTCTCAGTGACTGCAATGACTGGCCGAGTCCTATTTGATGGCGGATTCTGCGCCTCGAGTGGTGAATTGCATCCATACCGACCGTACCTCGGGTTTTCGTATTTCCATTTTCACTTTGAGGACGTTTTTTGGATCCTATGACATAGGAATGTTTGGTATAAACGAGACAATTGAATGTTTGGTATGCCAATACCGCCCACTGTCGAACTTGGAGACATGCAACGGCGGCTGTCTGTCTTCGGTGGCGGCTGTGCCCGCCGTT